ATACAACAGAACATATCATAACATAGCTTAATATGATATGGCATATTGTAATATAAGACAACATAGTATAATATATAACAATCTTATAATATACTAGTACATAGAAAAGAATAGACTAGAATAAAATCAAATGAGATATAATATATTATGCACTCTAATATATAATACAATACAATTTGATACAATATGATATGATACATTTTACCATATTTAAGATAATGTAGTAATATCATATATGATATATAAGAAAATAGAGTATACACATACAATATAAACTATCCTAGTATAATATCGTATGATATGATCTGCTATCAGATGATACAATATCATATGTTGTAAAATAAGAAATGTGACATGATATCATATACTATAACTTTATGTAGTAGAATATAACCTAATAAAATATAAACATAGAAAAAATGATATGATATCACATGTAAAATAGTATAACACGGCATAATATACTAAAACAAAACATAATATATAGTATACTACAAAAGGCTTGTAATCGCATAATCTACGAAAATTAAGTATACTATAATATGATATAACAAAATGTAAGATAACATGCATTGTATCATATATAGTAAAAACACTATACCGAAACATACAAATAATATGATATATTATAATACAATGCGATATAACCTAACATAGGCTATAGTAGCATACAGTATATACATATATATAAGATAACATAGAGAATATATTGTAGCATTATGTAATCGGGCATAGCATAGTATAATACAATATAGTGGGATGTAAAATGAAATAACACAATATGATATCATATAATATAACATAGTACAGTATAAGAATGCATAATATTGTATAATATGATATGATATAATAGGAATATTATATAGCATAAAAATATTGGTAGAGTATAATATAGTATGAAACAATATAACACATACCATGGTACCATAGAATATAATATAAACGAATATATTATAATGTACTATTATATGGTATGATATGATATAATATAATATAACATTATATAACATAATACGATGCAATAAAATATAAATCAATGTAAAACATAATATAATACATTCTAATATTATATAAAAATAAAAAAGAAATGTACTGAAATTAAAATGTGATATTCACATACATTATATATATATATACACATACATGTGTATACATATTTGGTTGTTATTTATTTGCTTGTTTCTATAGTTCTTTATGTGTTTAATATGTGTATTCATCTGTGGATTCCGTATGTATATATATATATACACCTGTATACATGCACGTGTACGCCTGTATGAAGGCATTGCTAAGTGTGTACACAGACCCACAGGAAGAAAACACAGCCCGAAACCTTAATCCCTAAACCCCGAAACACTAAACCCGAAGCCTGAATCTTGCTCAACCGCAAAGCTCTGCGAAGGAACGCGAACTTTACCAGCCCTTCTAGACCCCAACAAGCAACTTTAGCCGGATTTTGGGCTTAGGGTCTAGGGTCAGTTTAGGAAAATCGAAGCTTCGGTTTTGTACACCGAGTGGTGTTTGTTCTATTTTCACCAAGCGCAGACGCAGCAGTGACTATAGGGGCCTTAATCATCAGAATACAGTAGGGTTTGGGGGTTCATAATTCATGTCGGGGCGATAAAGGGAAATTTAGTGGCCAAGATGCAACGACGCGGCTCATGTTGGCGACAAGCTCGCAGTTGCTCTTAGGACAGAGTGACTCCGAATGAGAGGCGTGTGAATGGTTGCAATGCTTTGCAAGATCAGGCCAGTGTGTTGTTTGCATAACAGCTATTACGGCCTAAAGTGCCTAAGAAGGGCTGTCATATGATAGTAGGGTCAGATGTAAGGCTCCTTGTTGTGCTAGCTGCCGGTCTATAGCAGATTCAGCTCTTCAGTGCCACTCAGATCACTTATGTTGAGATGTGCTCCGGGCTTCCTCATGGCATGTGATTGATGAAAGCCGCACGCGGCCAGCATGGAGAGAAGTATCCAAGAAGACAGATCATCCCTCTATCTTAGATTGCTAGGCCCTTCACAGACATTGGCTTGAGAGTTTAAGGGCTTAACCGGGGTTCAAGGGTTTTGGGCTTCAGGGTTAAGGGTTTAAGGTTTAGGGCTTAAGGGTTTAGGGGTGTAGGGTTTAGGGCTTAGTAGTTACCGTCCTTGGCTGGCGTAGAGCGTAGGTATCTTGCTACTTCCTTGCAGATTGGCTGTTTCTGCAAACCGGACTGACCCATAAATCCTAACCGCGGATATACCGCCTGCTCGGAAAGCGTCAATACAAAGGCAGGCTGGTGTCTGAAAGCGGAGACAGACAAACCCAGGCCCTGTAGGGACCCTGATGCTGAAAGCCAAAGATATCTCACCCAACACAAACCCTGACAAACTGTTTCTCCCAGCCTTAAACCCCTATACAAACCCAACACACTCATCTTGTGCTTCGATTTAGGATCCTCTTTGAGTTGAGCGTTTTCCCGTTTAGTTTTTTTTTTAGCGGGCCTTAGGATCACCGAAATCCTCAGCGGTGGACCTTCCAGTAAAACCTGCTACGAGAAACCCAACTGCTTGTTCTCTGGTAACGTTGAGGCTTTATCGGGTTTAGGGTTCAGGGGTTTCTGGGAATTTTCAAGATTTATCGGGTTTAGGGTTCAGGGGTTTAGGGTTTAGGGTCAGGAAACCCTCGACCCTAAACCTAAAGCCTCCTGTGCTCAAGCCCCCCTCAAAACACCCAAAACCGTAAACCCTAAACCCCAAACCCCTAAACCCTAAACCCTACCACTTTCACAGGGAGCTCCCGAACCTGAACAGGAAACTGCAGTTCTTGCACTCCCAATCCGAAACTCCTAAGAACAACATCGACCAATCCCCCTAGAAGGTGAACCCAGACCTCCTAAGCTTCCCAACCTAAAACCCTAAACCCTAAACCCTAAACCCCAAACCCTAAACCCCTAAACCCTGGACACTGAATCCTAAGTGCTGCCTGGACAGCCTTCAGTGCTTATAGACGGAGAAACTCCATACAATAAGGAGCGCAAAAATGGTAGGTTATTTGGGATTAAGTAAACCTTAAACCCTAAATCCAGATAATAAGGAGCCCCAATTGGCAGGTTCTTTGTCTTGGGATTCAAGTAAACCCTGAACCCTAAAGCTTTGAAGCTCTCAAACCCTAAAGCCCGGAGACCCAAAGCTCTGAAGTTATGAAGCCCGGAAACTCTATACCCGAAGTTGAAGGAAACTACAGGTGGGGAGTTTAGGGTATATAGGGCTCCTATAAGGACCCTATAAGGTATATAGGCCTTCAAAAAGGCTACTGTAACGGTATCTAACCACCTGAAAATGTCCTAGACTAAACCTGCAGACCTTAGCCCTAAGCCCTTAACCCTACAAGCCCTAAGAAGAGTCGGCCAGCGCCTGACGGAGAAGACGGGGTCCATCAGCCAAGAAGGGAAAAGCACACTCAGCTCCGAGGTAAACTTTGCCTGGCAGCTTACGGTTTCCTGAAGGGTCCAAATGCAAAATGGTCATATACGGGAGTTTCCGAAAATTAGGGGTGCCTTATTTTGGGGGTCCTTATAAGGATCCTACTATTTAGGGTACTATATTAGGGTCCCCTATTTTCTGAAACTCCCATACTCTCCCAAATAGTAACCTGCATAACTACTATCCGAAACCTAAGTACCTAGTTATTGGGTCCGTTGACCCCCTAGGTTTTGGGCTTTAAGGGTTTGGGGGATTATAGGGTTTTGCGTGTATGGCAGCTTCGTGAGGATTCGGCTTCAGGAATTTCGGGGCTTGGGTCGCAAAGGGTGTTGTTTGCTAGGGCTGCTAGGGTTGGTTGAAGGCATCGTGTTGGGGTGATATTCTTTGGGATTTAGGCCTCTGTTCTAGCGTTTGTGGGGGGGGGGGGGGGG